AGCACTGTGGCCCTGTTAAAAAAAAAAAAGAAAAAAAAAAGTCAAACCACTTGGCCTCCAGATGATTTACCCCCCCCCCCACCCTCCCAACTAGGCCATTTTTTGCAATACGGTGCTACATTACTTTCACTGGCAATTGCTCAGTCATGCAAATCTGTACATAAATGTCCTTTTTTTTTCCCCCCCACATATTTTTTTTTTTGGTGGTATTTGATCACCTGTGCATTTTTTGCGCTATAAACAAAAAAAAAAGAGTGACAATTTTTTTGGGGAAAAAAAAATTAATATATATATATAAATTTTTTTTTTGACTTTGCTATAAAACATATCCAGTAAAAAAAACAAAAAAAAAAAAAACCACACAAATTTTGTCAAATTTAGGCCAAAATGTATTCTGCTACACGTCTTATAGTTATAGCGTCTACAAATGGTGGTATAAATACTGGAATTATAATTTTTTAATACCAGTAATGGCAGCGATTTATACTGTGGGACTACGGCGGGCATTCTGACACTGGAAGAGGGAGCTGACTTACTGCCACTGACATCCCAATGACACTAATAATCAGTGCTTGCTAATAGAAAGTACCAACCATATACTAATGACACTGGGCAGGAAGGGGTTAGCATCTGGGGCGATCAAAGGGGTTAACTGTGTGCTGTTTTACTGTATGTGCTGTGTATTTAATTATTTGGTAGATCCAGCAGTTGCATTTTCTGATTTGTATTGTGTGTTTGTTGGGGTGGGGGTTTACAAATTTATTGGATTTTGTTCATATTGTGAATGATGTACGATTCCAAAGTGCCAAAAGCATGCATGCCCCTACCCGGAAATGCAAATCACGTGTATATACATGTGATTTTGCGCAGCCCTGCTGCAGTATTTCTGCTATAGATCAGCAGGGAAGCGGTTAAATTATTGGTAGGATCAACATACAGGAAAAGCTGCTGTGATTTTAGTGACATTATGCATCATGTCATGTTTAAAGTGAAGCTGTACAAAAAATAACATCAATTAAAATACCAGATCATCAGCAGGCAATAGAATTTCTAGCAGTCGCCAATGACAGGGGCAGGGTTGTGCATCAGTGAGTGGATGATGAACTTATATTTTGTAACTTGAGTCTGCTTTTGCCACTTTGGAATTGTGCGTAATTCACAATATGAACAAAATCCAAGAAATCTGTCAAAGCCCCCCCCACCACCACTTTAAAAAAACAAACAAAAGCACAATACAAATCAGAAGATGAAACTCTGCTGGATCCACCAAACATTTAAATACTGCTTACTCATTAATTCACTGCTATCCATGCGTACCCTATTCTATTAAATGGGTAACAGAGCGTAAAATGGCACCTTCATATTTTTTTTAAACATATTATTGTGAAAATTTCAAGCACTAAATCAAAGAAAAAACCTAAAATGATTTGGCAAACTTCATCCAGTTACCATATAAACCAAATACTCTTTAAAAAAAAAAAAAAAAAAAAAAAAAAAAAAATCATAATTATGTCTATTAATAGTTTATTAGAAATAACGCAAACAATTAAAAAAAAAATCCCCTTCAATACAACGTAGGCTTCTTCAGCTGATCAAAAAGAAACAAAACAGAATAGTGAATAAACATTGTTACTCTTTCCTTTTTAATATATACTGTGACAGTGCAAATACAATTTGGTCTAAATGTACAGACTGATGAGAGAAACAATGTACAGCTGTCTACACTCTTCCAATGTAGAGATGGAAAGGGTTGGTTCAATTGTACAGGACTCACAGGTTGTAAAGATGGTTGGTTTAATGATCGCTACCCTTAAGGAACATAATCCAATTAAACCATAAGACTTTCTTGTACAAATTAACATTTTTCTTGTAGGGCATCTACCAGGGCTTGCCCATTGTCAGTCAAAGCAGCATATTATGTATTCAACTTCAAATGTAGTGCAGTGTGTTACCATGCTGGATATGGAAAGCTCCCAATACTGACTAACTGGCTTTCTGAAACCATTTAAACCAAATCAAAATGAGCATTTTTTTTTTTTTATTAATCTGTGTTCACAAAAATTAAGTATGCTATGCCATTACTGAGCATATCAAAAAGGTAATAACCTTCAAATAGCCATTAATAGAACTCCTATATGTTCTGGCACTATGGTATTTGGATTTACTAGTTAAATTTCTACCAGTTTATCAAATCTGGTAAAGACTTCACATCTAGTCAAAAGCACAGCTTTTTGTCCACCCACAAATGACAAAATGGAAAGGGAACTTGGACTCACCATGTTCCCTAACATTACAAGCTTCGGCAGATGATTCCTTAGTACCTATAAGCATGTTGCGATTGATCTGTTTGTAATGCTATAGAATATTCAAATAGCTGTGCAAAACAATTTCCATGTTAAAAACTTATTTCAAAAAGATGTGTCAGTCCTAGAACACTTACTCCACAAACACATGCACGGTGGTTAAGATGATTTTACATAGCAGCTCTTTAGCAGGAAAAGATTGAAGGATGTCCTGTACAATCATAATCTCAAACCCTGATAAGCGCCATTCGGTGATAGACAAACAAGGCTGACTGGAAGTACTCAGTAACTGTATTTACAACTTGGGTATCGGCAACTGCAGAGTGTTTCGAAATATTCTTTCCTCCCATTCTCCCACCCCTTTCCCAAAAGCACAGGATCTCTTTATTCGAGGTCAGGCATTTCTATAAAGAAAAAAAAAATGCATTAGACAAAATTTTCCTGTAAAAATACAAGTATATAGGTTCTCTTAATCGTGAATATATATTGCAATATCATACACAAATGCAAGATAAGATAGCCACAAAGAAAAGTGGAGATTTAGAAAATGTGGTCACATTTTAGTTTAATGCGGGTAGAGTGCAAACTAACTAAGAGAAACACATTCTACATAGAAAACATAATTTACAGTCATGGAACTTCACTCAGGGCCTACAGAAAAGGCAATACACAAAAAAATTGCCTTTTCAATCATTTACAAAATATGAATAGATTTAATAGTGTGCTGTGGAAAAAGTACAGCTTTCGCCTTTAAAAACAGTAGTGGCCCATTAAGCAGAAATTGCTTATTTATTTTGCATAACTCCCCACCAGTCCGACATCGACTGTGCAAATTACCTTCAGCTGCAGGTTGTCTGTGGGTCCCCTTGGCATGAACTGTTTCAAAGGAAACCCCCATCAAAACAGTGCTTTGACTGGGCCAGTTTCATTTCATTTCATTTTTGGAATTACTAGTGTTCATTGGATCATTGCCATATTGATACTTTTCTCTTTCAAGTACTGGACAGATGACATCTCATTATGATCAAGCACACTTGATATGACGCAGAATTCATCAGTGACTCAATGATCATATTTTGCCCAGGCTGTGAAGCAGCAAAGCAACCCTAAACCAAAACATTTTTAAACCACCATGCTTCACAGTTGGTGTAAGGTTTTTCTCATAAACGACTTAAATGCTGTCTTCGGTCTGCATCAAGCAACTATCTGAATTATCAGTCCACAGCACATTGTTCCAGAATGTCTGGTCTTTGCCTATATGTTAAATGGCAAACTATACTCTTGTTACAATCTTTTTGGACAGCAAAGGCTTTTTCCAGCACACCTACCATGCAAGTTAAATTGGCAAGTTCGCTTTCTGATTATGGATGCATACATTTTGAAACAAACTGTTGAAAAATTCCTGGAGATCCTGGCAATGAAATCTTTGAAACTGTTTTCAGCATCAGTTAGTACTTGGGGGTTGATTTTGCTTGGTTGGCTAGTCCAGGACAAAATTAGCAGTCTTGCATCCAAAGTCACTTGTAGGTTGTTTTCCTTACAGTGAAATGACAGATTTAAAATAATTTCGGAGAGCTTTAAATCCCTTGCCAACCTTGTGGGGGCCTTAGAGAGCACTTCTGATCTTGATGTGACACCATCACACGTGTCAAAAGCAAAGAGAAGAGTAGACCCTTAGATATCGGAGAATAAAATAAGACACATTCCACCTACATACTTCCTAAGGAGAACACTGGATTCAAAACTCATGGATGTACAGTGGTGTTAAATGTAGAGGTGTACATACTTTTTTTCACAAAACAAATTACATTTTTGTTTAGAGGAGATAAGTCATGTCAGTTTTGTTTGTGTCATTTGTTCAAGTATATCACTTTTCGTTACAGACACAATTTGAAAAAAAGATCTGTTTTCAAAGGGTGTACATCCTTTTTCACGACTGTATAAATTTTATAGGTAGAGTGGTTAATATAAACAAATATTTCTTCACTGGAGTATTTCTTAAAAGCCAATTACCAACAAATGTTTGTAAAGCATTCTGTTAAACACAGATACATACGCAACATACAACTTACTTTCATCATCACTGTCTGGTGAATCCTAGAGAGAAAAAACAAGAGCCTTGTTAATTTGCAAATCAAAAGCCTTATACAATGTGTTGATGATGCCCTTTAAGAGTTGTTACCGTTTGTAACAGCAATAAAGTGACCCTTATCAACACAAGGCGTAATTGCTTTGCTATGGATAGCTAGATCACATTCTGTAGCTACTAGGAAAATTATGACCAATTCAGAATATCTATTTTTTTTCACATCCAGTCTAGTAGTTTAGGGGGGACAGGATATGAATTCAAAGCTTTTGCACCATTTTTCTGGTGGTATGGGCTGTTAAAAAAAAAAAAAAAAAATTCAAAAAAGCCCTGCCACCAGTTCCAGTAGTTTTACTGAAACGTGTAACAGATTCAGGTAGCTATTGATCACATCACTAACAAAATGGTGCTATGGCTACACAAAATTAAAAAAGAATTACCTCCATTTATTAGGTAATGAAAATGCAGGTAATTAGGACAACTTTAAGTTTGTGCACAGAAACTGACAGAATGCCTGTCTCTGTACACTATGTAACTGGGCGGCATGTTTGTTGCTGCTACAACCTTCACAAACGACAAACGTTTCCACAAAGAAATTTAAAAATTGTCTATTATAAACGTACATCATCTGCACCATCTACTTCTGGTAAGTCTACATCTTCATCTCCTCCCATGTTGTTCATCATCTGTTGTCCAAGAATAAAAACATTAAATCAGAATCCAAGGAACGAAGCTTACACAAATATTCAGGTTACAGGAAAATACTCTCCTGAGCAAAATTAATGTTTACCTCTGAAAAGCGGTCAAAATTTGACATATCTTCATCAGAATCATCTTCCCAATCTTTCCAGTTGTTAAAATCCACACAAAGCCAATTAAGCTGAAAGATATTAACATGCTTTCAAAATTATAAACAAGAACATTTAAACAAATCTTTAATTAAACTAATCTTTCACATGCTTAGTAGGAGGCAGCTAGCAAAATATTGAAGTTACAGATCATGTACCTTTGCTTTCTCCTTTGTCAACCTAGGCCATGACTGGCCAGATTCTCCTTTTCGTAAACAACACAGGACAGATCTGTCTGTTCTTTTATGTTTGGACTCCTATATAAAAAAAAAAAAAAAAAAAAAAAAAAAAAAGAAAAAAAAAAAAATGTAAAGAATATCTTCACAGTCAAGTTATCATATATACAGTACAGTCAAGATATGGGATCTGCAATTTCTAGCAACTTCCAAAAATGCTAGTGGTCTGCCTAGGTTGACTTTGGTCCTTGGTTATTGAACCAGCAGATCAGGCAAGTCAGAAGTTTCAGAGCAAATGACCTTAAGCATGGAAGCCAAGTGTAAGCATGACATTAAGGCATTTAGCCTTTTCAGTAGAGGTCAGCAGTGGCAGTCTCCATGCTTTATCGGGGCTGATTTTTATTTAAAACATAGTCCAATTAGAGCGGGTTCACACATATGCGAAGTAGATGCGTTTTGAACCGCATCTGAGGCACATGACATGTGAAATAACATTGGTTTCTATTGTGCTACATACAGTCAGGTCCATAAATATTGGGACATCGACGCAATTCTAACATTTTTGGCTCTATACACCACCACAATGGATTTGAAATGAAACGAACAAGATGTGCTTTAACTGCAGACTGTCAGCTTTAATTTGAGGGTATTCTTTCCCTTAAAAAACTCTTTGGTTGCTTTTGCAGTATGCTTTGGGTCATTGTATATCTGCACTGTGAAGCGTCCAATGAGTTCTGAAGCATTTGGCTGAATATGAGCAGATAATATTGCCCGAAACACTTCAGAATTCATCCTGCTGCTTTTGTCAGCAGTCACATCATCAATAAATACAAGAGAACCAGTTCCATTGGCAGCCATACATGCCCACGCCATGACACTACCACCACCATGCTTCACTGATGAGGTGGTATGCTTAGGATCATGAGCAGTTCCTTTCCTTCTCCATACTCTTCTCTTCCCATCACTCTGGTACAAGTTGATCTTGGTCTCATCTGTCCATAGGATGTTGTTCCAGAACTGTGAAGGCTTTTTTAGATGTTGTTTGGCAAACTCTAATCTGGCCTTCCTGTTTTTGAGGCTCACCAATGGTTTACATCTTGTGGTGAACCCTCTGTATTCACTCTGGGGAAGTCTTCTCTTGATTGTTGACTTTGACACACATACACCTACCTCCTGGAGAGTGTTCTTGATCTGGCCAACTGTTGTGAAGGGTGTTTTCTTCACCAGGGAAAGAATTCTTCAGTCATCCACCACAGTTGTTTTCCGTGGTCTTCAGGGTCTTTTGGTGTTGCTGAGCTCAATGGTGCGTTCCTTCTTTTTAAGAATGTTCCAAACAGTTGTTTTGGCCACGCCTAATGTTTTTGCTCTCTCTCTGATGGGTTTGTATTGTTTTTTTCAGCCTAATGATGGCTTGCTTCACTGATAGTGACAGCTCTTTGGATCTCATCTTGAGAGTTGACAGCAACAGATTCCAAATGCAAATAGCACACTTGAAATGAACTCTGGACCTTTTATCTGCTCATTGTAATTGGGATAATGAGGAAATAACACACCTGGCCATAGAACAGCTGAGAAGCCAATTGTCCCATTACTTTTGGTCCCTTAACAAGTGGGAGGCACATATGCAAACTGTTGTAATTCCTACACCGTTCACCTGATTTGGATGTAAATACCCTCAAAATTAAAGCTGACAGTCTGCAGTTAAAGCACATCTTGTTCGTTTCATTTCAAATCCATTGTGGTGGTGTATAGAATCAAAAATGTTAGAATTGTGTCGATGTCCCAATATTTATGGACCTGACTGTATATGCGGTGCAACCAGAGTGCGGGTTTAGTGCGAACGGAAAAAGAGTCCTGTCAAGTTTCAGAGCAGTGCGGTCTGGCTCAGATGCAAGTTCAGGCTCACTGACTTCCATGGGAACGTTTTTGAATCGCACGTCACCAGTTGTGAACAGGATAAAATCCTGACCTGATCTAAACCTGACCTTACCAGAATAAAACTTATAGGGCAGGTGCTTGCTAGAGTAACTGGTGTTTGAGCTGCTGAACCTCGCTGAAGTAGGTTTTAACTTTAGTTACAAGCTAGAGAATTGAAATAAGTGGTTAAACAGTGTTAGGGAGGCATTGTCTGGTGCTGCAGCCCCCCTCATCTTGGTTTAGGAAGCTTCAAAATTTGACGATGGTCTCCTTCACACCTGTTTTGATTTACCTGCTTTTTCTGTCCAAATCATGTACCTTGCTAGCCTCAGTGTCCTGAGTCTTGACCTCAACAGTTGTCTCACCTATGCTGAAAAGTGGGAGGGTGTATAAGATGTTTGATCTTCCCAGTATACAGATGAGAACCACGTACAGCTTTGAATGGCAGGCCCCACATTGCTTTTCTAATGCTTGGGTATGGATCATTTTGGTATACAAACCTCTGTGGTAAGAAGTATCAAATAGACAGGAATCTAAAATGTTAAAAATCTAAGTTTTTCCAACAAGCCAACCACACATGGGACAAAAATATTCCAGCACTCATTTTTCCCCTCTTCTCATTTGTCTGTTGTTGCTGCTGGATCTTGTAACGATTTTTAATAGAAGACAAATCTGAGGCTTCTGGCTACACAAGGTACCTCAAAAAATTGTTTTATTTACGGTTCTTTAAGACTGAAAAGCAATGTCAAACTGTCCTTTCCTTCTAGTCAGGTTTGAAGAAATGCTTTTGCAGTGGCTAAGGTTGCTGAGACTAAGGTTTGACCTCATCCTTCGGTCATTGTGATTAATGCTACCACTGGGTCAGGTTATGGTGCCATAGCAAAGTTCAATTAGTAAGAAAGGAATTCTCTCTCTCTGACTGGTTCCCCATCATGTTCTTTTACTTACTTGTCCCTGGTACTTTAAAGTGATTACTGTTATTCTGTCTCCAGGTTACATTTTTCAGCATTTTGTAGAACAGAAAAATGTTTTTATTTTGCATTTATGTGTTGGGGCTATTTTTACATCTCCTATGAATTATTCTAGTCTTCTATAGATAATCGTATTAAAGCACTTTGCAAAAAATTCTTATCTGTTTCACTGCATTAAAGTGGAAGTCCATTCAAATCTTACCTATACTTAAACCTCCTGCCACCCCTATTCTAACTACCCTGTAAAGGAAAGATGTCTATACTTGCCTATTCTGAGGACGCTTCGGTACGGCACATGATTGTCTCCCAGCGCCGCCTTCAGTATGGAAGGACAGCCAGGGCCGTGGATAAGGGGATACCACCAGTCCTCCTGTACAGGGCCCAGGCTAGCAGGGAGGGTGATCGGCATGGTGGGGGGCAATTATTGGAACCGATCCCCTGTATGGCTCCCTCTGCAGTAGCTGAAAGCCGACTTCTCCTCTCCCTCCTGATGGCTTTCAGCTGCTGCAGAAACCCATACAGGGGGATCGGTTCCACTAACTGACCCCCCCCTTCAAATCCGTCACCCTCACTGTGCATCACACATTTCTCCCCACTACCCAGGTCCCCGTGTGCCCCCTCCCCCACAGTGCTGCCTGCATCCCTCCTCTCCTTCCCACCAGCAGCTGCAAGCACACACAATGGGATCCTTCAAGATCGAGAGTTGGGGGAAGGGTCAAGTAAATATGTCACATTTACTAGCCCCTTTCCTGAATGAACACAATGAGTGTTTGGTACTGATCGCTCACTGTGTTCATTCATAACTGAAGCATGGTGAAGTGTTTTTTTTTTTTTGGGGGGGGGGGGGGGGGGGGGCGGCGGCGGGCCTGTTGGGTTGGCTGTATGGGGCCCCCATGATTTTTAATAGCAGCCCTGGGGACAGCTGAAAACACATGCCCCATAATAAGCCTATGGACATCATCACCCAAGCTCTGCAATCTTTGCCGGAAATCTTTTCACTGAAGCTGGCTGCTGGACAGATCATGTGACTGAACTGGAACGCCCTCAGAATAGGCAGGTATAGACATCTTTCCTTTAGCCCCTGTTCACACCGATGTGACTTTTCATGCGATTTGACAGTTCAAAATTGCATGACAAGTCGCACCCTATGATCGGCAATAAAACTGCTCTAATCGAAGTCACACCAATTTGAAAAGTAATTGCTGCATTACTTTTGCCGACTTCTGGTGCAACTTTAATTGACATCTGTGCATCAAGTCGGCTTTGAAATCGTGTCACTTCAAGTAAAGTTGCACGATTTCAAAGTTGTATTCAGTGTGAACCAGGGCTAACAGGGCCATTAGAATGACACTGATCCCTCCAGCAGCAATATTTCCACCTTCACCTGGTCTTCCTTCTGGCTGTTTGAATGGCTGAGCCATGAGGGCTTCACTCTTGTGCAACCACACAGGAGTCTCGACTGCGACATTCAATGTGCCCTCAACTCAGAGTGCAGTGTGCATGCACCAGTGAGGTCTCCAGCTGCAGAGGTTGTGAATATGTCCTAAACAGTGTAGGTTTAGGAGACATTCATTATACATTATAAGCTTACCTGTGGGTACAAGTGACCAGTTTACTATCACTTTTAAGTCCAGTTAGGATTTGACTGGGCTTCTACTTTAAAGCAGTATTAAACCCAAAAGCAAACATATTGTAGCTTGCCAATTCTTAAATGTGGTGGCTGGATTAGTTTTCTTTAAGTTATTTTCAGCTGGAAATCCTAACAGCAAGTCCTATTTTTCAACAGATCAAGCTGTCCAGTGCTTGTAGCAGTTGAGCAAACCATTTACCAATTAGAGAAATGCATACAATGGCCAACATTTTTTAATGTAAAACCTTCATCCCAAAAGAAAATTGGTTGCTGTAACTGCTTATAAAGTGTTAGCTGGAGTGTGACTTCAATTTGTTTAGTGTATCTAAATCTGCTAGTCCATCTAGTACTCCCCTACCCCCAGACTGACAATGCTTCTGTTCAAAAGGTGTCTCTCTTGCTCCTCTATCCAGGGTGAAGGAATTCTAATACAGGTAACACGTTACTGGCAGGATCACCAGGTGAAAACAGAGAAAAAAGCCTACAAAAGAAAACTAAATGTAGCAATCACATACAAGGACTGGTAAGCTGCAATATATTACATTTTTGGTTTTGGGTTTAATTCGGCTTGAAAGATGCAGTTTAGCTAAACATCTCTACAGCTTTACATTACTTGTAATGAAGTATGTCCCAGGATGTGCAGGCTCCTACACTGCAGGGTTTGCCATGTTGTCTTTTCCTGCTGCTGAATTTCCAGTACTGTGGGAGTTATCAGCTTTGGGTTACCAGGCACAGTGGCACTAAAAAGATTTCTCCTCTACTGAAAAAAGTAGTTTAGCTTCATACACTGCCTGTGAAACAATCTGTTAATGGGAGAGGGAATTCTGTGACCATCATTCTCCTCATTTCGCAGATCATGTTACAGAAGAAGTTCAGCAGCAGGAAGAGGAGGGCAGCCCTTCAGAGATGTCTGCAGAATTCAGCAGGCTGCACATTGTGGGGCATACAGTGCTTCATTACAGGTAATGTAACTAAAGCTGAGGAGAAAAAAAATTAAGTAGATTTCAGCTTTAATGAACTGGGTGTGTCCCAAAAGTTTATGTAGCACTTTCTGTAATATTTTACCTTACGGCTTGTAAGATATGAGCCACTGATATTTGCATTTTCATGAACAAAACAATCTATACTATATAGTGTATATATACGTGTACTTGCCTCAATAGTGCCTATTCTGAATCCTGGCCACTCTCCTTCCTCAATCTGCATGCATCACACCTGACAGTTTTCTCAGATACCAGGCAATCCATGGTAACAACCTGCCATCCCCTCTACCACACAGGAGGTGAGACTACCGGAGATTTCCATGTTTCCCACAGAGGATGTACAGATGGGGTGTGTCCCCATCACAGTTGTTGGATTACACTGAGCTCTGCTGTGGGGTGTTTGATGTCCGATCCCCACCCCCTGCCTCCTAGAAACTGAGAACCAGGATCTGCTCTGTGTACTCTGAGGAGAGAGGGCTGCACATAGAAGGTACAGCTTATGTGGGAGGATTTGCTTCATCATTGTTTATTACCTGAGGCTTGCCATTTCAGTGGGCTTATGTGAAGGTTTATTATCACTTTAAAGTGGTTCTAAAGGCAGAGGAGTTTTTACCATAAATGCAGTCAGGTAAAAAAAAAAAAAAAAAAACCCTTCTGGCTGTAGCTCCCCCTCTCAGCCCCCCTAATACTTACCCGAGCCCCATCTCACTCCAGCGATGTGCAAACCTGTATGAAGGTGTTCAATATGACAATGATGAGATACCTAGCAGTAGTTGGTATTTTCTAGTATTTATACCCCCAATGCATATTCCAAACAATAAAACCCCACAACATGATTAAGCATTTGTATATGTTATTCATCCAAGCATTAGCGAAGCGGTTATGCAAACCACATAGCTCTATCTTGGAGGGAGAAAACAAGGAAACTAATGCATGGCCCAACAAAGGAATACCAATTTTGCAGACTAATCTGAAAATACACATACAGGACAAGGCAACTTTTGAACAGAGAAATTAAGCCATGTTTCATAGAGACGTAAAAGGAAGACAAAATTGAACAGCTTAACCTAAACAGTGGTGGGGACCAGAGCTGATACCTTACAATACGGCCATATAACCTGGGTCCTGGTTTAGCCCCTAATACACAAGAGCCAACCTTTGTATATCAGGGCACCCCGTTTTATTGGTGTTGAAAGGTGTTCTGGCCACAGGTTCAGTTTAAAGAGAACATACAGCATTTTTATATACATCTTATGATGCCAATAACAAAAATAAATAAAAAAATAAACACACAAAAGGCAGCAAAAATTGAATTTTTAGTCAAGTAAACATAAAAATATTGCATATTAATAAAGCAGTACACGTGACATTCACATTCACTGCAGGTGCATCTTCCTGGCCAATGTGTTTTAAATCACAGGTAAAGATTTACATGCACTGAATGTGTAGTAAATGTCATTTTTACTGCTTTAAAAACCATGCCCCAGAGTGTCAGATCTTGCCTGGTCCTTCCCACTCCCTTACATTACTATTCTCCATCCCTATGATAGGCTGCCTTAGGGGCCAAGAGGAAGATGCCAATGGCATGAAGGTGTGGGTTGGTTGGTGGGCTGCAAGTGCTGAAGCTTTACCGGTCATCCAGGAAAAAAAAAGCAAAAAGTATTAACGCTGTTGCAGATATAAGCACAAGACACCTCCCCATACAGATCAGCAGCATTTTGTTTGCTTAAAGGGATGGTCTCTAAGCCCTAGTTCACACCGGTGTAACTTGCCATGTGATTTCACTGTTCCAAATTGCATGACAAGTCGCGCCCTATTGCTGGGAATAGTACCGTTCAAATCAGTGCGACTCCAACTCCATCAGGGTGCACCAACTTTAAAAGTAATCCCTGCACTTTGACATCTGTGCATGAAGTCGCACAGATGTCAGATAAGTCACATCTGAAGTCGCATGGGTCCACGGCTTTGAAATTGGGCTACTTCAAGTGAAGTGGTATGGTTTCAAAGTTGCATTTGGTGTGAACTTAGCCTTAACATAGGCAGGTAACATTCAACACAAAATTATACCAACACCATAATATTTACTCAAGATCATCTGGAGAAGGAATTAATCTACTTACGTTTGGGTCAATAGACTGATAAAGTTCAACTTCATTTAAATGTTTACCATTATCAGCTCCACCCAGACAGCTGCAAAATACAATAAAAAAGGAAGGTTAAAACGTGATGTGTGTTGTCCATTAACACTTAATAGGAACCATATAGAAGACACTGATTAATTGCAAACATAGCCAAATAGACATGAATACCAAGCAACAAGTGTTGGTAGAATGGTTAAAGTGATTTTAAAAGGTTGGAATAAAAAAAACAAAACAAAAAACATGTTATATTTACCTGCTCTGTGCGATTGTTTTGCACACAGCAGCCCCGATCCTCTACTTTTTGGGTCCCCTGTCGGCAGTCCTGGCACCTCCCCCAGTCGAGTGCTCTGAATACCAAGCCTCCTGCTATGGGGGCACTTTAACAGGCTTGCTCCAAAGCTGCACTCCTGTGAATGGACACGGTCCATTCACACTCAGAGTGTGGCGTGGCTCGGCCCCGCCCCCCGCTCTTCCCAGTGGTACACTGGCTTTGACTGACAGCTGACACACTCATGGAAAATCTTCAGACATATCAGACACATCCATTACCTAAGGACAATAACACAACACCAAGGCTGTGCTACAAGGCAAAAGTGTCTGGCTGTGCCTGGGCAGTGTGTGTCTTTTTTGTCCACTCACCTGTTGCTGGCAGCATAACCCAAGTAGTCAAAAATAAGAAGAAACCTTGTGTTCTGGGTTGTACGATTAAAGTGGTACTAAAACGCTCAGTTTTTATTTTTCAGAATTAAAAATGTTATACTTACCTGCTCTGTGCAAAGGTTTTGCACAGAGCAGCCCTGATCCTACTCCCCCCTGCCGAGTACCCCAAAGCAAGCTGCTTGCTCTATGACACTCACGAGTGCTCGCCCCCGAGTCACCTGTGTCTACAAGGACACAGCGCAACTCAGCACTCCTCTCTGGCTGCCAATGAGAATGGTGAGACCCAGGAGAGCTGCTGCTCTCATGCACATTGCTGGATCAAGCACTGTTGGGGGGGGGGGGGGGGTTTTCCCTTCATGCCTAGAAGGCAAAAAGCCTTTAGAACAGCAATGAGCAAACTACGGCCCGGCGGACCTTTTAATCCGGCTCGCGGAGCGTGGCAAACATCGGCTGTCAGAATGTGTGTAGGCGGGGCAGCGTGAGGAACGTGAGGGGAGCTAGGCTCCTCTCACAGTTCGCCCTGAAGACCGGAACGGCGCGGGAACACGGCAAGAGGAACGCGCGGAGCAAAGGTAAGTGAATTGACACAGGGGGGACTTAATATGGGGAATGAATTACACTATATGGGGAATGAAATTAATATGGGGAATGAATTAATATGGGGAATGAATTTCACTATGGGGGGATGAATTTCACTATGGGGGGGGGGATGAATTACACTATGGGGGGATGGGGGGAATTACACTATGGGGGGGGATGAATTACACTATGGGGGGATGAATTACACTATGGGGGGATGAATGATGAATTACACTATGGGGGGATGAATTACACTATGGGGGGATGAATTACACTATGGGGGGATGGGGGGATGAATTACACTATGGGGGGATGAATTACACTATGGGGGGATGAATTACTATGCTTACTATGGGGGAATATTACTATACTTACTATGGATGACACATACATATCATTCATCTACTCTTGGTCCGGCCCCCGGGTCCAATATATGAACCCATTGCGGCCCTCAAGTCAAAAAGTTTTCCCACCCCTGCTTTAGAACTTCTAAGAAACTGCAATGTCCTGTTGTTTTTTCCAACACGTTTGCATTATCTGTGCACCCCATATACTTACTGCAAAATATAAATATTTACACTGTATATTTTTCTAAAAATACATTAACAGACTGCAGATTTAATTGGTATACGAATGTGACATTTATAAAAGAACAACGTTTAAAGCAAACATATACATTTAACTTTATGAGAGCTTCTCTGTCCCCCCCCCGCCCCCTTTTTTGATGCTTCCAAAAACAATAAGCCGATTTGGAAAAGGCACTATTAGCATGAAAACAGCTTTTGCACAGATCTGTGATTGGAAAAAATGATCATAACCCTGTGTCTGTTGCTTTTGCAGTAAACACAGAATATAATCCAGATCATTAAACATCATTATTACCTGGGGATTCATTTTTATATGCACTTTTTTCCTTCATGGGAGATCTGGATCGGATCAGTAGAGGCAAGATTTAGACCCCTTAAGCAGCAGACCACTAACAATACTGATCTACTGGAGGCTGCAAGAAGCATCAGAAGTCCAGAAGCTGATCATTTCTGCTCCTGGGCTTACAGCTGAACCCTCGTCACTAAGAACCGAAAGCTTTAGCACTAGTGTGGGACTGCAGGAGCAAGAGTCTGAAGTTTTAAAACTCTGCTGGGACAAATACCAGCAGTCTTGCACCATTTAAAAACAGTGACCAGGACACAAATACGACTATTTTGAGGAACATTTACCTGAAAGTTATTTTATTCTTCCCAAAGACTACTTTTACTTCTTTGCTGTCCTCAACACAGAACTCCATAAAAACATAATCCCTCCTATCGTACCACTTTGTGGATGCTGGTTGCCTGTGGAGATGAAAAATACAAATAAAAATTCACACAAAACTTTGACAATACAGCTATGTTTCATATTATGAATACAAGCACTGTTCATTCACATTTTTTTTTCAAAAACAGAATGCAGGGAAGTTCCAATTTATATCGCCGGAGCCATGCAGTTCCAGGTGTTGGGCAGGTTGTTTTTTTTTTTTTTTTGCATTTCACACCTTTAGCCCTTCTAGCCGCTTACACTTAAACAAATGTTTAAAAGTTTTCAGTGCGGTTAGTAAAAGCAGAAATTGCAACTCCAAGGTCCCAAAAAAAACCCAGCTGCCTAAATCAGTGTATATATATATATTAAAAAAAAAAAAAAAAAAAAAAAACCACAGTAGCGATCCACTTTTTTTCCCAAATTGCGTTAGAGTATACGGTTCAGTATTGACTGAAGGACCTCCGTTTTAAAGGAAGTTACTAAATCCCCTCTTAAGTGCTTGTCCTTGTAGAATAAAGTGATTGCAGTTGCATTTTTTTTTTAAATATCATACGCTACTTACTCAACTGCTTATCAAGCGCATGTTTTCAGGAAAAAAATACACTAAAATGAATATCCGTGCAAACACATTCAATGTAAATGTTTTGGTAAGGTATTAAAGATGAAGTTGTGTTGAATAAATAGATGGCAAGCCCTGAAACTGTGTAAACAGCCTCAATTTATAGTACCCAAAATTGTCCATAGCAGACATTTTATAAAGGCTAAACTTTAAATCCTGGCCCTAGAATTATTGCTCCGAGTGTGTTGCTATTTATACATAATGTGCGCATGTGTTCATTCAGGTACAGGGGTGACAATTACTTTCAACTTTATTGCTTTAACCACCTCCCATCCAGCCGTTGTATATAAACGGTCAGACTATGGCAATGCAGGGTCGAGGGGCTGTTTATAAATGGCCTCCGCGCACCCTGCTTGTGCACGCTCCCTGGGAGCGCGCAGCACCGTGATCTGGTGCCCGCTGTGTCCTCCGGACACAGTGGAACAACGATTGTCGGACAGGACCTCTGTACGAGGTCCCGATCATGTGATCACTGACTGGCCAATCAGTGATCACATGCAAAGTAGTAAGCAAGATGTCACTTGTGACATTGCTTACTACCTGTGAAATCTGTGAATGATCACAGAGGTCACATGGTACAAGGCTATTCACAACAGCCTTGTACCATGTGACAAGCTGTGACCAATCACAGCTCACTCAGTAGTTCTCAATGGCTGCAAGAATGAAGACAGAGAGAAAAAAATTATTGCTTTTACATCCTATATGGGTGTAAAAGCAATCAGTGTAAAAAAAAAAAAAAAAGATCTTCATCACACCCCACAAGTAGTACAGTGTCACCATGGTGACACTGTACTGCTAGGGTGACAGTATGTAAAAAAAATAAATAAATAAATATAAAAAAACAAAATAAAAATGTAAAAAAAATGTTTAAAAAATATAATTTTTGGTTATACACTAATTTGGCTTTTTTTTTTTTTTACACTAAAGATAACGGAATAATTTTTGCTAAGATTTATGATGAAATAATATTTATTTGCAAAATTTTATAAGAAAAACACTTTTCAAAAATTTTGGACTTTTTCATTTACATAGCAAAAAAAGAAAATCCCAGCAGTGAATAAATACCACCAAAATAAAGCTTTATCTGTCTCAAAAAATGGTACAAAATTCATATGGGTACAGTGTTGCATGATCGCGTAATTGTCAAAGTGTGATAACACTGAAAGCTGAAAATTGGCCTGGACAGGAAGGGGGTAAAAGTGTCCGGACAGGTAGAGGTTAACAAGAGGGCCAACAGGCCCCCATGTGATAGAATGGGCAGGTGACGGGTGCTTTTTGTGGAGCCAATAGGGGTCCACTAGACCCCAATGTTTCCCTGTCAACTTCGTTAGCTGCTTACCCAGCTATAATAGCCAGGGAACAACAGCTCTTAATCCGAACAGACTAAATCCTCAACCACTTCTAGGTTTATTCTTTGCAGATATCAAGGAAAGGATATTCCCCGAGTTTGCCCAGCTCCCAATACTGAGGCATTTTACTGCAGTCCTTGACTGCCGAGTAACAGGAGAGCCCAGAAATGGATGGCAGCTTTAGAGTCCTATAAAAATGATAGGGAGGGTGCAGAGCCTCCCAGGTCACCTTTACATAAAACCTTGTCACAGGCTGGAAACAAATACCAGGCTTGTTAACTCCTTGAATACCAGGACATAAAAGTGCTATGGCAGACAAAGGGTTAACGACTAAAAATTGTGTGTTCCGTATTGTATCACTAAAAGCATTTGAGGTTTATTTATTTCAGGTACTTCTATAGCGCCGTCAATTTACGCAGCGCTTTTACGTATATTGTACATTCACATCAGTCCCTAACCCTCAAGGGGTGTACAATCTAAGGTCCCTAACTCACATTCATACATACACATACTAGGGACAATTTAGGCAGGAGTCAATTAACTTACCAGCATGTCTTTGGAATGTGGGAGGAAACCGGAGTACCCAGAGGAAACCCACGCAGGCACAGGGAGAACATGCAAACTCCAGGCAGGTGGTGCTGTGGTTGGGATTCGAACTGGCGACCCTGGTGCTGTCAGACGGAAGTGCTAACCACTTAGCCACTGTGCTGCCCCATGATGTAATAACCTTCAATCAGTACTTTTACACCACAAGATATTGTTTGTCTTCCAGGCTAAATTTGACATTTACTTCCTCTGGGCCTGGAATTCAAGGCCCTGCCCCCAGCCTGTGACTAGGTATGAGCTCAGGTATATCCAGAAACTAACCCGAACCCGCATGAGCCATCCTGCTAGGAGCTGTGGACAGGCAATCGTAAGTGGCTTTGGAGTGTTGGAGGAAACCGGAGAACCCGGAGGAAACCCACGCAAGCAGAGGGAGAACATACAAACTCCATGCAGGAGGTGCCATGGTCGGGAATCGAACCCATGAACCATTTACTGCAAGGCCGACGTGCTAACCATTAAGCCACTGTGCCGCCCTAATATGTGCTCCTATTCTCTCTCATTCTTATACCTAAAAAATGTTTTTAAAACATTTTACCTTCCAGATGTGTTTCAGGTGAAGGCCTTATGGATAGCTGCAAGCATTTTTTTAAAAGGACAAGTTCATCTTTGAGTAAAAAATAATAAAAGCACTTTTTTGCAGATAATAAAATAAAATGAGCATTTACTATTTTTTGTTTTAGGAGCCTGGAAAGCATTGCACCAGCAACTAGCTGATCGCTGGTGCCACGCAGGTCTCCTGCAGACTGTCAGTGTAATCAGCTAACTCGCACCTCATACTGACAGGGAGAATCAATCATTTACCACAACTCTGAAGAGTGTTCTGGTAGTTCATTGAGAACTACAAGCCGACTGCTGCAAAGGCTGCCAGGACTTGTCTTCCCATTCCCAGAACATTACTGCCCCACGTTCTCTTTTCTTTTTAGATTGTGACAGCTAGCAGGGGTGAAGATCCCCGGCTAGCGGTCACACTGGGGGATCAGGGGGCAGTAGAGTTGTAACGTTACATCCTTAATATGGGTGTAACATGTTACAAAAGAGGAACTTATCCTTTAACAATCTCAGTGTTTCTCCACACAGGATTGAAGACACAAAGCTAATCCCTCAATAACACAAAATGGTGAAGCCTAGCATCTAAAAATACCAGAACTGGTATACATAAAAGGGGAATTTATCAAAACTAGAGCAGCTAATCATGGCAAGCAACAAGCTTCTTTCATTTTCAACTGAACAAGCTGAAGTTAGAGTAGGTAAACGACGTCTTAAAAGTCTCACATCACAGCAAAACCCTGTGAGGGGCTGTATGACAGCCTCAGCCTGGGCACCAAGTTGGCCACAACTGGGAGGGCATGGCCTGGTTGGAGCCTGGGCTGAGGCTGTCACACACCTCCTCACAGGGTTTTGCTGTGATGTGCAACTTTTAGGATGTAGTTTCTTTACTGGATGTTTTGAGCTGGGATGAGCTCTGTCCTTGTCGGCACTCTTAGTGGTCTGACATGCAAGGGGACCTGATGAAGCCTTGAGCGCCAATTGTAATTTTTGTTGTAGGTCAAGCTGAAGTTAGAAACTGGTTGCCAAGTACAGTTGATCCAGATACTGGCTGCTCTAGTTTTGATAAAGAAATTAATTTGTGTTCACATCTAATTTACAACTGATAATGGAGATAAGCCAGCACAGTACAGACAGGGTTAATTATGGTACACTAATTCCCCAACCCCCTTGTATCTCACAGGAAAATTCAGTTTAGGAGTAAAATGGAAGAGCAAATAAAAACCTATAGTAAAAGGTCATGCTGTGTGAATGGTTACAAATATAAAGTGTCCCAATTTGGCTGCAACAATGGAAATACAATTTAGGCCTCATTCTCTAAGTGCTGAGTCACATGCAGGGTTTTATTTGCTAAAGCTGGAAAGTGCAAAAACAGGCTCACTTCTGCAGAGAAACCAATCAGCTTCCAGGTTTTATTGCCATGGCCCCAAATGCACACTGAAGATCAGATGTGCACAGTTGTTTCCTACAAAACATTCTCCATATAATGCTGAAGACTACCCTTTGAGACAGGGGAAGTTGGCCACACATCTGAAAGGTCACGAGATGGGTTCTACTACTTCTGGCATTATTCCTCTATTAAAATTAATAGGACTGTGCAGTATCAAATCAAGAGCAGCAATAGCATATTTTTAAATATGCGTTATACTTGTGCCTGTTATTTAAATGTCAAGTACACCTTTACAACCATATTTCATGTTATATCAGTATTTAACCACTTGCCCTCCAGAGGATTTACCCCCCTTCCTGACCAGGCCATTTTTTGCTGTTCGGCACTGCGCTATTTCAACTAGTAACTGCTCGGTCATGCAATGCTGTACCCAAATGAAATGTATGCCCTTTTTTCACACAAATAGAGCTTTCGTTTGGAGGTATTTGATCACCTCTGCGGGCTTTAACTTTTGCACTATAAACAAA